AGTTTATAATATAATATAATATAATATAATATAATATAATATAATATAATATAATATAATATACAAACTATCTATCTGTACCTACCCACAGCCACTGGGTCTTTGTCTAGTTTGGGAGTGGCAGCTATTATATTATCTACAGTTTCAGAGTTCTTCAACATTTGTTCCAACTGGCAAAATAAAAATAATATCATGTAAAAAGATAAACATTTATGTCAAAATTTTGAATAAAAAATTGGTCACCAATTTTGCTGTCCTTTCATTACATGCACCTTTAAGTAAGCTTTGGAACAGCCATGAAATTAAGAAAATAACAGAGTTGCCAACAAAATATATTTAAAAATATAAATATCTATTATTTATAAAGTATAAACAATGGCATAACAGCTGAAAATGAAGGAAACCAGTGAAAACTGTGTGGAATCTATATATAAAGCTGGTAACAGTGTATCAGTCTCACAATGAAATGCTTAGAATATTCTATATTTCCCTTAAAAACATAAGAAGATAATCAGCTTTGCTGAAGTGATTGTGGATATATGTCTGTACTCACCACTGCCCTGTGACTAGGGTTAATTATGGCAGCTTGGAGAGCTGTCACTACTTGTTGGATAGACGCTTTATCCATTTTTTCTGAATAACAAAGAATTGCATATTTGTATACATGCATATCCTTGATTCATAAGCTGTCACATACAGTTGTTATACAAGTGCATTGTATGAGAAAGAACAAATGAATGACAAGATAAATAATTAAATGACAAATATAAATAAATTTTATGATCAAAGCAACCATGATTTCTTACCAAGGGGCTGTTCATTGTCTTCTATGTTGGTCTTCTTCAGTGCATGAACAGTTGTCCCTGGCTTCACCCCATAGGACTCCAACGTTTCATCATCTTGGAGACATCGGCCACAGTAAATTAGCTCTAAAAAATAAAACAAAAAATAAGTTATGGCTTTTACATTGTTGTTGGGCTTAATTTTAAACTTTCCTTTCATCACTTTTGACAGTTAAAACCTTATCTTGCAATAATCGCAACTGGTGTGCAACTGGTGAATTTGTGTGTGCCATTAGCAGATATTTTATGTACCCTATTTTAGCATTGGGACTGCCCCCCTCCCTTCACACACACGCATGCATGGACGCACGCACACACACTGGAATCGTGTACTGTACATATGGCAAAGGCTAAGCCAAACATAACAAAAATTATCAACAGCAGAAGGAAGGTATATGGACATTTCTGAAAAAGAGCAGATACATGCTGACAGTTGAAATTGTCACAAGTTATAATCGGTAGATCTACAAATACAAAAACTGGTTGGTAGACTTTATTAGTCACATTAGTTTTGACTGTGTACTAGTGTTAACAATTATGACGTTTATTCTAACGTAGGGATACATCCTATGCATTCTTTTGCATAAAATACCTTAACATTTAGCAACTCACTGTTAAGCAGGCCAATGCGGTTGCGAAAAGTAAGAAATATTTTTTAAAATCTTATTTCACCTATTTGTTCCTTTGGCAAGTTCGTCTTCTGTGATGCAGCAATACGTAATTTACCAACATTGTCATTTAAATTTATCGAATCAAGCTTTATTCTCTTGGTTTTCCCCACAGTACAGCGGTCGCAAAGCACAATGGTCGTCGCCATGTTTTAGTTTTGACGCAAATGGGTCATTAGGTCGTGATTCGTTAAATCAGAATTTTCAGATTCAGTCCATATTGTTCATCATACATAAATATCTGAGAATATATAGCGCCAACTTCGAAAGAAACAGAAGGAGAGAAAGGGGAAAGGTGACATTTTTGTTATTTTAATGAGCATCAAAATATTCACCGGAGATTGTAACAATCATGTTGTGCCTGACTAGGCACATCTATCGCATTCACTGATTCACTTTCTTTGCTTGCGGCGATGGAATTTATTTATTTGTCCTAAAATATCTAAAAAAAAAAATAAATAAAAAATTAATCTACATCTAACTGTTGTTTGTTCTCTGAGAAGATTAAAAGCTAATATGCATCTTCATGAGAAATCAATTCCCAAATTGGCAATGACATTTTCATTTTTTGTTTCTGTTTTTTTCTTAAAAGATCATTTGTTAACTTTAGGTATCAAAACTAAAAGAGCTTTTTGACACAGATAGGCCAAAAGGGAGAAAATTCCCATGCCAGCATTGGAGGCCTTTTTCTAATATTTTTCCAAGAAAAACAAATTAATAAGAAATTAAAAAAGAAACCCTAATGATAAAATCAAAATGCAAGGATTTCAGAAATATCGCACCTGTTTTTGAGAGAGAAGAGTAATAGTGAAACCGAGTCCAGTATATGGAGAGGGTTTGTTTTTTTTTTTTTGTTTGTTTGTTTTTTCATTCTAGGATTAATACGCGATTTTTCTCAATAAACGCTTGAAGAATATAGCAACATGCCTCTTTCTTCTGTTTATTTTTTATTGTTTGATAAAAATGAATCGTTGCTTTTGTGTGTGTTACAAGAAGAACGCTTGTGTGCTACGACGATGTTGGGTCTTTTTTATTGGTGCGGAAATATCATAGTGATGCGACTCTATGTCGTCTGCTAGACAGACGGAGAGAGACTTCCGTGCTCGGTGAGAAGGTCTCTACTGACGGCAAGGGCGATTATAAGGTATATTATAATCATTTATAATAGGACACCTAAAATGTATCTTGGTAGCTAAGAATGAACATTGGGACTTGTGCACAAAGCTTTGATCAAGGCATCTGTTACATTTCGCTTTGAAATAACCAATAAATTAATGAAATGACATTAGCCATTAATATTATGAAAGTAATCTGGAATAGATTCAATGATAAAATGTGCATGTAAGATAAACATGTTAAGATTTATGTTCTGGCACAGTTGGGTAGTTTTTATCTGATAAAAGGCCGTTTTTCAAAATACATTTTAAGCATGGCAAGAGGCAAAAAGACTGATACAGAAAAAACAGCTGCGGCTAACACCAAAGATCTCAGTAGATTTGATTTTAATGATGAAGCAGATGGCCAGGCAGGAACTCCTCCAGGGAGCAAATGTGAGTTTTTTTTCTTTTTACAAAAATAACTTAAGAATAAACAAAACTCAAAAATTAAAGTTGCTTTTCCCAATTTGTTAGCTGATTTGCTCTTCCCAATTAGGTTGCAATTGGCAGAAAGAATAACCAAAAATAACAATATCTATGATGTTAATATTCATGAAAACAACTACAACATAGTGGGATTGGTAGGTGTTAATAAAAATAAGGTGGGTGAAAACTTACCATTTAATATGTCAACATTAATTTTTCAGATGAAACTCCACTAGTTTCCAAGGCAGGAAAGAAAAGAACATACAGAGAAACAGAAGAGGCAGATGAACCAGAACCAGGCGACTTCAAGTAAAGTTTTAATTTGCATTACCTCTGAAGATTTCACCTGTTAAACAATACTTCTTTTTTTCATATTTGAAAGTGAATGATTTTGCTTTTCTGTTACAAAAAGCTGGTTTAACACTATTATCAACAATAAAAGTATTTTGTGTTCTTTATTTTCAGTAATGAACTTCACAGAATGCTTGGTTGTTTTGGAGGTATGTCTAGCAAGACAATATATTATTGGATATATTTGTTCTTTGTGTGAAAATCATCTTCATGAGAAAAAAAAAATNGACTGCGTACTGCCGTTTTAAAGAAGTGCATTTTATGTACTGAGTAGTATACCAACTATTTCGAGCAATAGTGTACCTGTAATGGATCTATCGGTATTTGGATCTAAAAATACGTGGATCTATAGGTATGCGGATTTAAAGGACGTGGGTTTATGAGGACGTCATATCTATAGGAACGCAAATATATAGGACAGCAGAAAAAAATCGGATCTATCGGTATTTAAATCTAAAAAGACGTTTTTTCCGTTTTTCCTTTATGTATCTATCGGTAACGGGAGTATAGGGACGTGTAATATTTTGGGACTAAATTTTATCCGTACGTACCCGTTTTTTTTTATTCTAGGATTAATACGCGATTTTTCTCAATAAACGCTTGAAGAATATAGCAACATTCCTCTTTCTTCTGTTTATTTTTTATTGTTTGATAAAAATGAATCGTTGCTTTTGTGTGTGTTACAAGAAGAACGCTTGTGTGCTACGACGATGTTGGGTCTTTTTTTATTGGTGCGGAAATATCATAGTGATGCGACTCAATGTCGTCTGCTAGACAGACGGAGAGAGACTTCCGTGCTCGGTGAGAAGGTCTCTACTGACGGCAAGGGCGATTATAAGGTATATTATTATAATCATTTATAATAGGACACCTAAAATGTATCTTGGTAGCTAAGAATGAACATTGGGACTTGTGCACAAAGCTTTGATCAAGGCATCTGTTACATTTCGCTTTGAAATAACCAATAAATTAATGAAATGACATTAGCCATTAATATTATGAAAGTAATCTGGAATAGATTCAATGATAAAATGTGCATGTAAGATAAACATGTTAAGATTTATGTTCTGACACAGTTGGGTAGTTTTTATCTGATAAAAGGCCGTTTTTCAAAATACATTTTAAGCATGGCAAGAGGCAAAAAGACTGATACAGAAAAAACAGCTGCGGCTAACACCAAAGATCTCAGTAGATTTGATTTTGATGATGAAGCAGATGGCCAGGCAGGAACTCCTCCAGGGAGCAAATGTGAGTTTTTTTTCTTTTTACAAAAACAACTTAAGAATAAACAAAACTCAAAAATTAAAGTTGCTTTTCCCAATTTGTTAGCTGATTTGCTCTTCCCAATTAAGTTGCAATTGGCAGAAAGAATAACCAAAAATAACAATATCTATGATGTTAATATTCATGAAAACAACTACAACATAGTGGGATTGGTAGGTGTTAATAAAAATAAGGTGGGTGAAAACTTACCATTTAATATGTCAACATTAATTTTTCAGATGAAACTCCACTAGTTTCCAAGGCAGGAAAGAAAAGAACATACAGAGAAACAGAAGAGGCAGATGAACCAGAACCAGGCGACTTCAAGTAAAGTTTTAATTTGCATTACCTCTGAAGATTTCACCTGTTAAACAATACTTCTTTTTTTCATATTTGAAAGTGAATGATTTTGCTTTTCTGTTACAAAAAGCTGGTTTAACACTATTATCAACAATATAAGTATTTTGTGTTCTTTATTTTCAGTAATGAACTGCACAGAATGCTTGGTTGTTTTGGAGGTATGTCTAGCAAGACAATATATTATTGGATATATTTGTTCTTTGTGTGAAAATCATCTTCATGAGAAAAAAAAAAAGAAAAAAAGATAAAGGATGATTTTGGACTATTTTTGAATTTGTGCCATAATCCATTTGATTGAAGCAGTAACCATTCAACAAAGAAAATCTCCTTTTTGTAAATTGTTCTTATATTTTTATGATTGCATTATTAATTTCCGGTTTCTAGCGGTGATTAACTCAGAGATGAGTAAACGTAAGAAGTTAGAACAACTGACTCAAAACTCTCTGAAGAAAGGTCATGTCAAAGTTGATGAAGTTCTTATACGACAACAAAATGAAAGGTAGATTCATAAAATTCAGTTATTCAAAAGATTGAAGAAATAGAAAATTTTCAATGCCATGCAAACAAAAGCTTCAAATGTTGACACACATTTCAAATATTTAGATAATTTACTTTTTTTTTTCATTAAGTAATTTTACACAGTTTGGTGTTATGTACTTCATTGGTGTGTCTTTTTCATCTTCAAACTTCTAAAAATGTTCTTTCTTTTAATAGGCAGAGACTACATGAGGAGTATGACAAGCAAGTTTCAAATGTTTTGCAGCAGCTGGAGACAGACTTGGAAAAGACAAAAGAGCAAGAGGAGAAAATACAGGTACAGAGGATTTGCACTTGGAAAGTTAATGTTCAAGTTCTCTTTAATGTGCAAACTGTCTTGGATCTGAATGCCCCTTAAATTTTTTGTACTTGTAAAAACATGTAAATTAATAAACTTTTGTTTTTGTAGAATGTATTCCGACAACAACTGAAACTTACTCAGCAGTCCAGAATCATCCAAAGCCAGAGGCTAAAAACAATCAGACAGCTACATGAAGAATATATAAAGGTATATATACAGGTTCAAATTCCTCCTTTATCACAACCCCAAAAACTGATACGTATATAGAAGGCCTACTATTTTTCAAATTAAAATAATTGACCAAACATATTTTAGGCATATGAAATGCTAAAATTAAAATAAATAAACATTAAGTTTTCAGAACATGAAAGGCAAAATATCTGATATTCTACAGGATACTGTCACTTTACACATTAAACTCTGTACTTTAGGGGTTGGAAAAAGTTGAAACAGATCACCAGTCACAAGCAGCAAAAGTCCAGGCTGAACTGAAGAAAGAAATGGCACTTCTTCAAAAGAAAGCATTGATGGATACTGTAAGTTTTCAAATGATCACAATAAAATATTTCACAATTATACACGACTTACACTACAAAAATCTCTTCTAGAAATACTTTATAGGGTAAGTTAGATTTGAATGTATTATAATAATAGCATTTAATAGAATTTTTATCTTTTTATTTTTCAGCAAAAGCAGACAATGGACACTTTCAAGAAGTCCCTGCAGAATATGCTGTTCTAGATGGTTCAGTTAAATCTGAAATGACAGGTGAATGGCTTGCTGGGGAAAGTTTTGGTTCCCATTAAGGCAGACAATATTTTCAATCAGTTGTATGCTTTTTTCTCTCACCTTTTTATGCAAGGCATATTTACATGCTCCACTATCTATGTAAATTGATCTTTCTTTGGCCTAGAAAATAATAACAAGTATGGAGTTTTCTTAAATATTTTCTTCATTCAAATTTTATAATTTATATCAAGACTTTTTCACTTTGTAAATAAGAGAAGAAATAAATATTGAATTCTGAGTTTCTAATTTTTGCATATTCACATGGTAACAAAAATGTTGTTACACAAAACGAAAATTAAATTGCTGGCATGGTCTCATACTTAGTTTTTGTGGTCTAACTTTACACCCCCTTTAAAGCAGAAATGACTATTTACAGATGTATTTTAAACTTGGGTTTCCTCTTGCAAAAATAGAAGTTGAAAAGGTTCTGAACAAGTAAATAAAAATGTTTGCCAGCTGAGCAGTTGTTTACCTGCCTGACACCCTTCATACCAGTTGAACAACAAAGAGTCGGGTCTGGTATCTAAAGCATCATAATTTCGAAGATATTTTCTAAGCAACTGGGCTTTCATGTTGATAGAGCTAGTATTATATCAAAAACATTTTTGAAGCTGTATATCTCGTGTTCTTTTATTTCACAGTGGAAATAATGATTATAAATACAAGAAAAATCTAATCAACAGTGGGAATTACACAACAAAAAGAATTATTTCCTGTACATTATCCAAGTCACTTAAAAGACTAACATGAAAAAAAATCATTTTATCTTTGATTATTCACTAAAGACTTCAGATGGGACCTGTAAAAAAACTACCCTTTAAGGTCTAATGGAGTAGTTTTCCCATTTCCAAAACACACTAGTAAGTTTTTCCCAGTCCGTGTTTGCTTCAATAAACTCAAATGTAGCTATAAACACCCCTTGTACTGCTTCCTTGATAACAACTTTGTAGCTCTAATCTTCCTCCAGTTCTCAACATCAGGCATCAATCTGTGACCAAGCTAACTACTTTTTCCATGTCACCTGCCACCCTCTTCTGCTTGACTGGATGAGACCAGGAGAAATATGAACAGCGGCACCAAATACATCCACTGAAAAAGCATTAACACAAGTTTGAGCATTAATTAGATTTGTTTGAGCAGTAATTAGAGTTTCCACATAATAAAGAATTTTTTTAGCAATCATTCTAAAAATAAAACAAGTTGATCAAACATTGCCTTAAGGACACACCAATCCCAATGTATACTTACATATTTAGCAAAGAAGGACCTATTATCTTGTTGCTGGCCCTTAGCTTTTTCTGCCTTTTCTTGTTCCATTCTCTGTATGTAACTCTGAGTGTCAGGCCTGGAAAGAAATGATTTTAAGCCATCTACCATTTCAAAATGTCATGTGCAAGATATTTGACATATGTGTAAAATCAATATTATTCATCAATTTCAAATCTTTCTCATTATTCTTTAAAATTTTGTAACATTATTAACTAACTGAATTTAACTCAGGTGGCCAGTTTAAAGGCTAAACAATTCTCCATTAGAGATTCAAAATTCAACAAGAAATACATTGTAAACAACACACAGAAATGTAATAAATACCATTTTACCACCAAAACAGAAGTTATTACAATTTTTTTAAATTGTTTTTGCCCATTTTACAGAGGAATGCCATTTTGGGGTCTGAGCCATCCCCTCATGCTTACATCTTACTATTATTAAAATGAAAAAATGAGCAGTAAATCTATAAATAAGAAGCAGAAGAAGTTATTGCAATTTTTATGAAATCTGTGCTTACCATCAGACCATGTGAACCTTCAAAGATGGCTATGCTCCTTACTTTGAATGTGGGAACAGAATCATAAATATCATAGGAAAATCCATTTTATAGCAGTTTTTTGCCAAAATGAAGAGCGATTATCCCCTTCTGTTTCTTGACTGAACTGGCATTTTAAAATTGGCATTTTAAGAGTGTAAGAATCAACAACATAAGAAAACAAATTGAAAAGACTTACACAGGTCCTGGTAGAGTTTGTGAAATCTCTACTGTAATGTTGAACTTTGACAGCTGTGAGCTTGGCACACTGTTATATTGACAGTAGGGAAGATATGTCCTGGTTGAAACTCCTAATACGTTACCAGATGTATCAACATTCAAGGTAATGGTTTCTGACAGACGCGTTTCATAAAGAGCACACTACAATGATTAAAGAAGAAATAAAAAACGTAGTGCATGTGTGTTAAAGAAAATAAAATAGGAGATTGCTGGTCAAACCACTTCATCTGACTATAAGACTTACACTATAATAAAAGTTAATTGTCATAAACACAAAACTTGTAGCAGATATTTGTAATCAACTTAATAGCTTTGTGAACATTAACAATGTAACCAATGAAACTGATCTGTTTATCTCTCCTGCACATATGTATTATAATCAATGTCTATGTATTTGTAAAATTACTTACAGCTTTCATAAATGTTGAGACATAGGACAAAGGCCCGTCCACCTGTCCAACCTTGGTTGGGACCCTGAGCCTGTAAATGTCATCATTCTGAGCCAATATCTGAAAGATCAAATTTTGTTGTGAACACAAAAAATCCATAATTTACACACTTTTCTAAAAAAAAAATTAATAGTAATAATAATAAATAAATAAATAAATAAATAAAAATGGATTGTTTTTTAAAATGTCTTCTCACATTACAGAATGTACAACATAAATTAATGTTTAATAATAAATGAATTACAGCACTGCAAGAGTCTCCATACCTTCAGCATATTTTTTTCTTCATCGTCTAATGCCTTTTCTTGAGAAAAATGTGCTTCATTTCCCTTCAGGGAGGCAATGCTAATGACACCTTTCCTTGTAAAAACTGCATCAGGTCCTAAAGATAGTTTATAAAATTTAAAATAAAATAATTCAACATGGGAAAGAAGGAGTTAACCGTTGTTTCGTGTGTGTGTGTGGCTGTGGAGAGAGAGAGAGAGAGAGAGAGAGAGAGAGCTCTGTACCTGTTTGAAATGCATACTCCACTGGTAGTGATGTAAGTCCTTCAAACTCGTCATCTGACTGGTAATTGGAAAGAAAAGGGTAACTTTGTAAAAATATTGAGTAAAAGTTTTACAAAAAAGGGCCATTTCTCATTACTACGGTATATTACTCATTAGTAACAATGTTCTTGAACGACCAAAGGGAGAGGTTACACCTCTATAGTTCTCAACAAATGATATCTGAGTGCACGGGGTCTAAGCATCAATGAACTCTAACTGTAACACACACACACACGTACTGTACTTGTAAGATCATGAATCAATCATTAACTTAGTATAACGATTAACGTCAGTGGGCATATGCAGCTATGAATGAATTAACTGAATGACGCATAAAGACAGGAAATGCTAATCTTCTCTCTGTCTCAGCTGAACTAAGCATCTTACCTTCAAAGCGCTTAAAAGCTCAAGAATGATGAACAAAATGTTAATTAAAGATTTACTCGTGGGCGCTGCCATACTTAATGTCACCTTGCATTGTGGGTAAATTTCGTCCTATGAAAAGAATTGTAACAAAATCAAACCAATCGCAAATGCCTTTGCATAAAGGCGTAGGGATTGACAAGCAGAGAAAAATTGCAGACGGACACCTGCGGTGGTCTGTTAAATCATGTTAATAATGGACAGTGAGGAAAGCGCCTTAGACGATGACTTTCTTCTGTATTCAGTGCTTTACTCTTCGATCACAGTAGTCTTTGCTATGGCTGTCTTGTCGAAGTTTTTGACAAATGAGTTCAGATTTGGAATCCGTTCTGTTCTGACTTTGGCTATTTTATTTATTGGAGAGCCATTATGCCAATTTCTAATGAAAGGGCCCCAAGGTGTCATGGCTTTTGGACTGGGCTGTTTACTTGTGTATTCTTTATTGCCGTCCGGTCACTTACCTGCAACAAAGAAGGCAGTGCTTATTACAGGTGGGTTTATTAATGTTATTTTGATAGTCTAAAGAGAATGGCATTGGAAATGGATACTATTGATTTGCCAGGCGTAACAACCTCACACGTGTGTACACTACATCCACATTTACTGTCAAGTAGTTTGTTTTGAACTCTGTGTGTGCCCTGATGAGGACAAGCTCAGCATAGGCAGGAAATGAAATTCTGTTGTTCCCTGAAGCTAGTCAAGTACACCACCCTACCCTACCATAGTTACAGAGAGAGTGTTATCACTAGATATTTCCAGATATTTCTCTGGCTAATTTCTTTACTTTGAGAATTTTTGCTCAGAATTGAGGTCGTTAACGGTTAACAAATGACTTGTGGCAGATATGGAGTGGCTGGGGTGGCGCTAGCAATTTCTTTCCTTTAGCCAAATTACTATTTTTCATCACTTTTTTCTCCAAATGGTTTAAATTTGACTAAAATAAGTCCAATCAACATTATTTTGTTTAGTCAATTTCAGTCAGTTTTAGCATTTGGCTAAATTGGCGAGTATTAGCGCTACCCCAGAGTGGGATGGAGGAGGGTGGAAAGAGAGAGGATTACATGCACATATACTAATAGAGACTGCTGGTTTTAATAAGACTGCATGTTGGGATGGGTCGTACTGAGAAGGGTCACCCCAGCATGAATATGAACACCGCTTAACAGATCAGTCTGTGAGAATGTTTTTTATCATAATCTTATACATCCAACAGTCCATTGAGTTGAAATACTGTTTTGTCTGGGGCACATCTGGTGAGACAATATAGACAAATTATTAATAGAAATGTACCCAATATGGATTGCAGGAAGATCAGGATCCCTTTGTTTTCAGATATCTGGCATGTGATATTAATATTCACAATGTTGTACTCCACATAACTTTTCTGTTTTAATCTTTCCATAGTTTATTTACATTAGTTGTTTTATTGTCTCTGTCTGTGCCACGTGCTTTTCAACTTGCAGGCCATCTGTGCCACCAGTGTCTGAGAACTTTCTGGCCTGAACCATAATTCACTGATCTAAGACAAATTTTAAAAAAAAAAAAAAAAAAAAAAAAAAAAAAAAAAAAAAAAACCACATTGAGGTTGAACGGGCTTCCTATTATTAATAAGAACAAAACATGGGATTTCAATAGGTTATTAAAAAAAAAAAGGTTTCAACATTTAATCTGAAAATTCATAAAATGAATTTGAGTACATGTTACTGCTGAAAAAAATCCACTGGCTTGGTCGGGCCACTGACTGACTTTTTTTCAGAAATTTGACCAGATATGTTTGCTTTATTCACATTTTAAATGATTCTTGGTAACTTTACCAATATTACTCACAACTTTGTCTAGAAGGTTATTATTATGTTATTTTACTGTTTGATTTCTTACTGATACATGTACTGTATAAACTTTTTTATAGGTTGTGACTCTGGCTTTGGTCATGCTTTAGCCAAAAAACTAGATAGTATAGGGATGAATGTGTTTGCTGCATGCCTGGACAGTAAAGGCCCTGGTGCTCTTCACCTCAAAAACACCACTTCTACAAGGTAATGTTTTTTTTTCTAAAGAATAAAGTTACGAATCCATATGTAATTAACATTAGTCCAGTTTCATTTTACTAGACACACTGAAACTGATCATGAGCAAAATATGTTTCAAAGACCAATAAAAGTTGTGTTTAGTCGATCTAATGACAGATTACAATTTATTGAGCTACAATTTTAATCTTATGATGGAGGTTTTTATATTCTTTCCGTCAGAAATCCTTGCCTTGACGAATGTTTCACATCTGGCAGTCCATATGTTCACCTGTTTTGATAAGTTTTCAAAATGTTTGCTTTTCTATGAGCAATAGTCCAAATATGTGCCGTGCATTTCATATAGGCTCAAAATAGTGCAGTTAGATGTGACAAAAGAAGAGGAGATTCACAGTTGTTTGCAGTATGTGGAGGGTAATCTCAACAGAGCAGGAGACCCACCAGGTGATACTTTTGGTCATTTTTTATTTAAAGCAGTTGTAGGTATACCATGATGATTTAGTACGTTCATTTTCTTAGTCCATGTTAGAGTTTAGATATTAATGGTGTTTTTTCCCAAATTTATTACTGTACATAATGAAGGAACTAATGTATAAGTAAAAAATTAAAGATTTCAAAGTATGAATACCAGGGAAACCAATAAAATGTGGAAATTGTTACACTGATTTCATATCATACTCCTGCAGTTTGTTTGGCTATTAATTTTTATTTTTATTTTTGCTGGGAAGCTGCTCTAAATGAATACTTAAGTGGTCTGTGTATTTAATTGTTGGTTATTATATTTGATCTATGTATTCAATGGTTGGTCTATCTATGACTGCATTCCCCCAGATTTTAGATCGTTCTATCCCCGTGGGGAGTCTTACTAGATTACTGTCAGCTACTTATAGCTGTAAGGGTGTAATTAAATTCCGTGCGTGCTTGGCTGACAGCAATTTAGCATGAACCCCTGGGGAGTTAGGTCGATCCAGATGGATCGATCTAAATCTGTGGGAATGCAGTCTATGTAATGATTAAAACTGTGTTGTATCCATCTCCCCAGGCCTGTGGGGTCTAGTGAACAATGCAGGGACTGCGTCACTGGGAGAGATTGACATGACTGACATACGCCAGTTCCAGAAATTGATGGAGGTGAATTTCTTTGGAACTGTGCGCATGACCAAAGCTTTTCTTCCACTTCTACGCCAGGCTGGGGGACGGGTAGTTAATGTGAGCAGTATGGCAGGTAATAGACTTAGCCCCTATTCAGAATGAAAGATCCGAGTGCAAACTGGTCCAAGGCTCAAATATGGTGGACCCTACATGAAAGGAAGACCTCTTAATCCAGTGGTGGTGGTCTCTTGCTTCTCACACCTCTCCCCACGTGTCGTCCCTGCAGGGGCACAGTCATTAAATCTCGGCTCCAATGGACCGGAAGCTACTGAAGAAAAATAAAGTGCGCATGCCCATCAGTTAAACTCGTTAAATTCTTTGCTGCTTTACAAGTCAATTTGTTCCTTTTTTGTCTCCATTTTGAAATGTAATAAAACAAAATAGCCTTTTTCCTTCGATCGCCTCCAGCCCCCATACTTTGTTCATCTCTAGTTGTGTTTATACCTATTGTTAGAAAAGAAAGGTGGACAGTTTATGGTGTTTCTTGTGCACAGTAGTAGAAAAAGGAAAAAAAAAAGTCTGGAAGACGTATTCATTTTGAGAAATGATTTAGAATAAGCTAGCATCAAAAGAGTTAATTTTTTATTATACTTGAGAATCATTGTGATAAATATTAAACTATTACTTAGCACATCTTGCTGCTTTTTTTCCTTCTAATGTTGCCAAAAGCATACTTACCATTGATTTTGAAACAAGCTTAAGGAATATGATTTTTTTATATTTATACTTTCACATTTCCGAAAATTTAGGTAACTGTGTGAAGGTAAAGTCTTTAGTGAATTTCTTTCTTTTGTTTATAGATCAGCTGCCTACTCCATTTTTTGGTGCTTACTCGGCTTCAAAGCATGCAATTAAGGGCTTCACTGAAACCCTTCGTCATGAGATGAAGAAATGGAATATTCAAGTTTCTTTAATAGAGCCTTCAGGTTTTTGCACAGGTAAGGATTTTCTGATGCTATTTTGTTATATTTATTAATTTTAAATGGTTTTTAATAACTTGCTCTTATAGTTTGAATTAAGCCCAAGCATTTTTGTTTAAAGAAAATTATTTGTGCTAGAGCTTTAAGTTAATTAACTTTGCTAATTTGAAGAGAAATATTTCTTTGTTTACACAGCTAAATTGTACAATGTAATAGTGCCTAGACATAATTTCCTGTTCTGGATGAATCTTGAATCAGGGATCTTGTGTGCATGGAGTAAATTACTGCATGATTTTCATGGCTTTTATTTAATTAAAAGAGCCCATGATTTCCACATTGGTGTCATTTTGCTTTATGTGAAAGGACAAAGAAAAGAGATCTTTTCTAACCCATTGTTCTTTGGAGTTTAAGTTAAAAATTAATATTTTTACCCTTTAAAATTTATACATGACCTATGTTTTTGTCTTATCTTAGGAGCAACTACTGAGGACTCCATTAACACAGTTCAGAGACAAACATGGGAGCAAATGGACAGACACACTAGAGAGAGATATGGAGAAGAATATTACAACCAACTGTTTGCCAATTACCGTAACTTCATATTGAATTTTAGTAAGGATCTGTCTCCTGTTGTCCGTGCTATGAGAAGTGGTCTGTTATCCAAGAGGCCTCGAGAGAGATACCCGTGCGGCAGGGGAGCAGAGACAATTTTGACTCTATTTGGGATACTTCCTATCTGGATGTCTGATAAGATTATTCAAACATTTGGTTTGGGTGTCAAGAATATAAAACCTAGAGTTCTGTCATAATTGTTGTTGGTCTGTTTTTCGGGTTATTGGGGTCACTTAAATTGATGAGATGTTTTAATGTTGTATGTTTACACACGCACACGCGCACACACACACACACACGTATACAGGTGTTTAAAGAAGGAAAATAAGGCCAGAGCTGGGTTGCAGACATGCACATCAAGCGAAAGGAAATTGAATAGGATGATTTTTGAGAGATTTACAATTTGTGTACTCAGTTCGCTCAGTGAACTGCAGTGCATGAACTAACTATTGAGGAAGATTCCCCTTTTAATAGGCAGCTTTTTAGTAGGTATGATCTCAAATGGTTAAATTAAGGGTATCATTTAGCCAGGAAAATTATGAAATATTTTTTCAAGTTGAGGATTACACCAACTTGTTTATACTAAGAAATATCAAGTAGTAAGTTGGTCATATGCACCATTTGGTCAAAAATATTTGTTTCAGAGCCAGAATGAGGGAAAAGAATACAGTAGAAATCGCTCTTCCAAATATTTATACTGAGAGCATCAGGATCAGGGGTATAGGTAAAGATAAACTGGAGGAATTGAGAAAGATAAATGTCTTCTTATTTGTTAATTTACAATTTTTTTTCGGTTTAAAAATGATTTGTTGAAGCCGTGCTTTACACAGGCCTTATCAACTGATTGGTGCTCCATATCTGCTTGGTTGAGAGAATGTATTTATCATGTAACATGTGAACATTCTGTTAAAATTATTTGGGCCATTTGCAAACTATGAATATTTCATTTTTTATATTGTACAATATAATTTTTTGATGTTAGAAGATTGTGAAATATCCTTGTGACAATGTTATGCCTTTTATTTGTTATGTGTAAATGCAGATTTTTTTGTATAGTCTCAATATAGTCCTTTGTAGAACATAAATATTTGGATTTATTATTTATTCAATGTGAATAGCACGCAATAATTTACACATGGTGTAAAAAAAATTGGCAACTTCAGACAGTTTAAGTCTTAGGGCTATATTTGCATTAGCTGTCAGTGTTGCAGTTATATGATAATCACTAGCTTATAATTAAGAGCCAAGCGTTGTGGCATGCCTATTGATATCATTCCATTTTTTTTTTTAACTCATAACTGTTTACTATCTAATATTTATAAATATGGTACTTGTTATATCTCACACTACAACATAACATTTGTTTATAAATTGTTTTTGCGTATTTATTATCATCTTCATTCTTGGTATTCTGTGGAACTTATTCTGTGGAACTTCACATTTCAAGAAGTGAGCCTAAGCAGAATTCGAGTTTGTGCACATTCTGATACTTGTGCATGCTGGTAGCAAGAGTTGATTGCATTGGTTTTTGTATTTTGCTGCTTGCCCCCTTCATGAACATGAGCATATGCAGAAATCTTATGGTTAAATTTCAAATATGGAGCAAAAGCATCCTGGAAATTGAATGAACTAACATACTAACATGAATGGTGAGAAAAGATTATCATCAATTTTGTAATATTTATTACATGTAATAATGGATAATTGTAAACAATTAGTATTTTATTTGTAAATGCTTCTTCATTGAATATAAGGCATTTTGTAATATTCATATAGTCGTTAAATAAATACAATAATATATGCTACACAAAGGAAGAGTTCATATTTTGAATTTATACATTCCCTGATTTTACATCTGCCAGCAGATTTTTAATCAAAATTGGTGTAGACCAAATGAAATTTGAGTGCTGAAGGAAAATAAAATTCCTTACGAAGCACAAATGACAAACATTTTCACAAGCTGGATCCTTGTTAACCATGTTATAAGAAGGTGATCCAGCTGGGCAATAGTCACCCACCCAGGGCACAAGTCTTAAAAGCACATGGTGCAGGACTTGGGTCTTGTCCTGACAGATTATGCCATGATTGTCCTCTGACCTCCATCACAGTAACGTCTGGCTGTTATCACATCAAGCAGTGCAGTTTTCTGTACTGCATTAGCTTGACTGGTCTTAACATGTCATTATGCCATAAATATTTTTCATCCCTGTCACCATCCCCATTGTACCAATCACTATACCAATCAAAATTTACTAGACTCACTGATGAGTGCTGGCACTGCATTCATAGTCATGTATGTCAATCACTCAATCCTGTGCGAAACAGAAAACTCTACCACTCCACGTGAAAATGGCTGGGATGAAAACAGAAAAGGCTTAATGAGGGGGAAAAAGCCTCTCAATCTTCCAAATTTTTGTTTTATAAAGTAAAGTTTGTACATAAGACGGTCCTCCCTCTCAGCTTGGCACTTTTTCTATTATGACTGGAGAGTCTGCTTTTATGCCACTGGGAAAGAGCAAGCTTCCATGACTCCGCCACAACTCCACGGCCTTAGCCACAATGATGTCTGCACTGTCTGCTGGAATCTGTAGGAAACAAATAAAGTTACGTTTGTCGATAGCTATAGAATTTAATAACAATGATGGTTCAGTTTTGTAGGGAATGAAAAGGTCACCGAGGTAACTAGTACAAACATTAAACTTATACAAATAATATCATTCACCGACATTTGTGACCCACCCTGCTATACTTTGCACAAAAACACTCTGTATGCATAGATATTAAAATATCAATATCATCAAGAATATTTTGAGTTTTTCCAACCTTACTGCCTGTACACTGCCATTAGAAAGACAATCCTATTGGCAATACTGTAGACATTGATTAATTTTTAGTTACATTTTTAAGATATTGCACAATCTCAGCATCTGTCCTTAACGTCAATATTGGCCTCCTCAGTGTAAGAATGATTGCCACAGCCACAAAGACAAGCACTGTGCAAGAGCCTCCTATTATTTTGTCCCAGATTCTGAAAGAAAAAAAGTTAAAGTGTGATAATAAAAGAAAAAATTAAACTTTTTCTTAATTTCTTATTATCAATATATAGGGATAAAAGTGAAAACATAAATATATTAGAGTTTCTGGATAAATCCATACAATTTTCATCTGCGGTGGCCCACAAGTGCACTNAATTCGGAGTGAGCTTTTTCAATTCGGAGTGAGGTTTACGAATTCGGAGTGAGGTTTGCGAATTCGGAGTGGGGTTTACGAATTCGGAGTGGGGTTTAAGAATTGAGAGTGAAGTTTAAGTATTCGGTGTGAGGTTTAGAATTGGGAGTGTCGTTTGGAATTTGGAGTGCACTTGTGGGCCACCGTATTCATCTCTAGGTTCATGTGCACTGGATATTCACCTTTCAAAAGATGTTTCTGGCAACACTCCAGCAAAACTGGAAGAGAACCACCTACTCAGAGGTATAGCACCAAATATGTTCAAGTTGAGAACCTTGGTGTATAATTTCCCATCTGGGTCCTCCTTTTTAAGATAATGCTCTGTCCTTTCAGACTGAAAATCAAGAAAAAATTAATAAAATTGCAGCCTGTACAACTGTTACTATACCTTTCAAACTCTGCAGTACCATACATCGTAAAAGATGGAGAAGATACATTAATCTTTGAACTATAAATTAAACTAAGAACACTTTCACAGTAATGAAATTGATTATCATAATATCATTTACAATACAATGTATGTAACTGCTAAATTCCTACCAAAACATGCATGATATCTTTCCATTTCTCTTGCAATTTATAAAATTTTGTAGAAATCCAGTATGCATCAATGTGACTCTCCACCATTTCCAGGACTGCTGCAGCAACTGCCATGAAGCTTTGACCTTCTGGCTGCATGACCTAAGAGTAAAATATACAAAAAAGATAACTTTTCACGTCTTTAATTGGAAATTAAATTTCAAATAAATCACTTTCAATTACGCAGCATTGATTTTTATTTTTGAGCAGCAATTTTCATCGCAAATTTCATCAAAACATATTCTGTACTGTACATTTAATCAAGCAAAAGTCAGCAGTTGATATTTACACAAAGAGGTTCTAAAAATAAAAAGAGGTAAAATTCCAGACATTCTCAACACAATGATTAAATATTTTTCCAAACAACTGAAACCAATCTAAATTGCTCAAACAACAAGATACGCCAGATCTCCCTCTCTGGTAACGTCATTGCTCAGCTGACAACGAATAGTGGCTAGTCCAAGTCCTCGTTAGGATAAGGCACATCATGATAATATTCATCTACTTTGTAGGTCCAGAAATAAATTCATAAAGTGTATATATATATATATTGCTTGAACAGCCATCCACAACTCACCAGCCTATTCTCATCAAACAAAAGCGTTCCTTCCTCCATGTGGTACATCTTCAGGAAGACCAGGGGCAGGGGGGTCCTGTCGTCCACTTTCCCCATGACTTTCAGAGAATGCATCAGATCATTGAACTGATCTGTTCTCATGGTCATGACAAACTCGTGGCTCTCTTGGTATGGCGGCAGGATGCCTGAAACACACACACAGCTCAGGTGATTTTGCTGTACGTGTTGCTTGCATAAATAATCAAACAAAAACATATCACAAAAATGTCGCAATGTCAATAATAAATAATATATATATATACGTTAAGCCACCACTTTTACGACCACTGTCAACGTCGACACTGTATTCGTAAACTGAAAAGCCATCAAATAGTGCAGCCCACTGACACTTGGCTACGAACTTCATTACCTAGAAGTACTTTCCAAACGAGAAGTCTGTAAATCGCAGGAACAGGGAACTTCAGGCAGAATTGAGACAGCTTCTTAAGCTCATATGGCTGCTCCTTGAGAAGATTTTCAATTACTTTGTTTTCCTCGACTCCCCTAAAACCCATTTTTTCATAAAAGTGCGACCTGAAGTTTCTTTCGTCTGCCATCGCGTTGGAGAGGTGTTTGAGTTTTGGTTTCGAATTACATACTCTCTTTGAAGGAAGTCTTATTTCATATATTTATCCCAAAATTTGATTATAAATGTATTAAAAATAATATAATTAGAAATTACAAATAAGAGGAGGAAGAAATCAAAAATCTAAAGATAGAAATATTGCGAAACTCTTTAAGTTTGGTGACCTCCGAGGATTGCCAGCTGGCTTTACATGATGGCCAGCAAGCAGAAAAAGAAGGACGAGGGCCCGCCCGTTCGGGTTTTAAATACTCCCGAGGGGGTAAAAACGGAAAAACACGATGATAAGAATATTGCCAAAGACTTACAAAAACTCATGCTCAAGTATGTATGCTAAAATTTTTACTGTCATTGCTGACATATTTATGTGGAAGTGAATATTTACATGTATCGCAGCTGATTAACCTCAACATGTGGTATTCACTTAAACGCCTAGTGCGAACATTTATCATGTTTATAATGGGTTCACGCATGATTGACTTGCACAGCCTTTGGAAAGCCAGTCTTTCGTAAAAAGAATATGTAGAGGAGAAAAATTACATTTTTAAAACATCTTATATTCAACTGAATACAAATATGTTGCAGGTCTTTCCCTAGGATACAAAAGTTCTCAACCAACATGTATATAAATTGTGTTTGTCAAGTTATTTAATTAATTCATTCTTACTCTACCCCAGATGGAGGAGATATAAGAATTACACTGTAGTTGCAATCTGCCTGAATGGGCAAGATTAAATGTTGACACAATTAATTCCAAGGGAGTTAAACTAAATCACCAAAATTAAGATGGTGAAAGTTGACATCTTTGGGCTCATTTCCAATGAAACTATTAATATACATAGATCAGTCCAACTCAGGGACTCTTGCTGAATGCAATCAGATTAACAGATTAACATGCCTCCTCTTGTTTCCAGCATACTCATATAATCACCAGCTTTTTTTGTATTTTAATCAATTCCAGGAGGAGGCGTGTTACTCTCTTAATTCTAATTGAGTCCTTAGGCTTGAACATAGTTTACAGTGTATTACAGTATGTCATTTTCCTGATTTAAGGTAGAGCTCATTTAATTTTACAATAGTTACTTCTACTTCTTGTGATATAAAATTCTATAAAATCCTTCTACCTTTCAGGCTTAAAGGAGAGCATATGACAGGAGATGGAAAAAACATAGACTATGTCGCACTGAAAAGTAGTAAAACATATGCAGAATATAAAGAAAAATCAAAGGCCTTGGCACATGTGCAATTGGAATCTTTTTCTGAAGAAGAAAAAATTGCATTTTGCATAAGTATCCTTAACATATACAGAAAAAAGTTGGAGGCACTGTAATTAATAGCAAAATGATTTCAGTTAAGAATTTCGCCCATTAGATAGCCCCCTTCCTTGAATTTGATTTGATTATAAAATTTGATTGATCTGTACAGCATGATCAGCTGATTGGTAAGGACACCATTTTCAAGATTGTTATTCTTTAACAATCACACAGATGTCTACAATGCTCTCACAATACACGGCCTGGTGGAAGTATCAGGCAAAGATCTTCCTTCTTCTGTGTTGGATATAAAACAGTTCTGGAAAACCACAGGATATAACATTGGGGGTCATGTTTTCAGTTTAGATCATATAGAACATGGGATTCTAAGAGGTGAGATGACTGTTCTGCATTCTGTTTTAGATTTAATGTTTTAGAAAGTAACTTCCATTAATGATCAAAGTAAGTAGTAATTTGTCTTTAATATTTATATTTCATAAAAAGAAGCATTAAGATGTAAAAATTTTAATATTACTATTATGGATTTCAAATACATTTTGATTTTGCAAAATCTTGTTGATGTACATGGCTTAAATGACATTTTAAAACTTGGTTGGAGATATCATGTTTAGTTACAGACATGAGCTTTTTCTGTGGAATTTCACATTTTACGTGACCTCAGAGCATATAAAACCCTAAATTTTAGTTTAAGTATTTGGCCCCACGATTAATGTTCATACTTTTTTCTAAAACCGTGGCTCTTGTCTGAAAATAGTTGGATGTACTTTCTAACATCTAACAGACACATTTATATGCAGGTATATATCTGTTCTAGCTTTTATGTATTTCCTGGTATATATATCTGTTCTTTTATGTATTTCTCAGGAAACAGGCCCCACCCTGCCAGCCAGGATAGTCCATTTAAACAAAATGACCCCCGGCTCAAATATGTAGTGAAGACAGTAGACCCTAGGATACATTTTGCACTAAACTGTGGAGCAAGGGTAAGCTGGAAATCAATAATAAAGAGAGATAATGGCTAGACATACTGTTATGTAAAACACTAGACAGTTATCATCATATTGATCATAAGAATTATGTTTCCATTAGTCTAACTAAAAAAATACATTATGAATGAAGTATGATTTCTCATTTCCAAGCCAAGGTTAATTAACAAGGTCACAGGTGCGAGGATCACTGATTTTTCAGCTAGGGCACCTCAAAATAAAAATGAATTTGTCAAAAAACACTTAAGTGAATGCATCTTTTTTTGTGGTATGTAGCTTCTTGAAAGATGCCTTTTATTATGTAACCTGTACTCTCCCTGTATGTCTAGTCATGGGGAGAATACTTAACGCTTGGATATGCATGTGTTTAAGGTCTCTGAGCAAATATATTAATACTTATTGATGTTGCTCAAAGCTGTGCACATGAACACTTTTGAAGATGCATTGCAATCCTTAAACCACATTAGTTCCTCACGTCTAGGGAATACTATTGGATTATGAGCAAACTGAAGGCATATAATCAGTTTCAACCAATGGTTCAGTCTTATTTAGTGTTTGTAAATATAGTTGTGTTTGTGAACAAGCAGAGTCATTTTGATATCATTTCACATACATGTATTTGTTGAAGTTAGCGTATTTATTAGTCATCAAAATAGCTGATAATGGCTTAGATATACTGCGTAACATTGTACCTGGGCTAGCATTGATAGTTGCCAGAGGCTTAACATAATGCTGCTAAATAATAAAGGCCAAAGGAAATTATCGTTTTGACACATCTTCATTACTTTATTATCAGATTTGTTTGAAAAGTTGATGAATGAAAATCAGTAGAGATGAAGTTATCCAATTGTGAGAGAGTTTTACTTTACCAGTATTTGTTTACAAACTCTGAACATTTGGCAGCTGCATCTATAATATCAAGTGTGGCAGTACTTGATCAATAAATTAAATATCAGATGATATCATATTGATCCTAGCTGAGCTATTTTGTTGCAGTCTTGCCCAGCCATCAATGTGTATACAGCTGAGAACTTGAACAGTGCCTTAGATGCTGCTGCCAAGGCCTTCATAGACCAGGAGGTGTTTGTGAACGTCAAAGTGCGCGAGATCCGCGTGTCCCGGCTGTTCCAGTGGTACAGATCCGATTTTGGCAACATGGACGTTGATGCTATCAGGTACACAGGCACTGTGATTTTTTGCACATCCTGTTGTTTACTACTGTATATTGATATAGTGTGTAATCTTTGAAAGATTTTCTGTTTTTATGACTTTTGTTTTTAATTACTGTTGATTGATTTTTTGCCATGTTGGAATGTTTGTTAGTAAAAAAAAAAAAGATAATTATGAAAATGTTATACAAAATATGTGTGCTGTTGATGTAACTCAGCAAAGACTTTTTTGTAGAATGACCCACACATGTTAACATTGGCTTATGTCAGCATTATGTATCCCAGGTGGATCAGGCCATATTTGAGTAAAGAGAAAGCTGAAGAGATGGACATTCTTCTGGACGCTCTGGAAGCCTCAGGTGGTGTCAACATCCAGTACTCAGACTACAACTGGAAATTGAATAAAGTTCTTCCAAAACCTTAGGGCCGAAAGAAAAAAATTAGTTTACTAATTATTATACGTGATAGTGCTTGGTTTGTTGTGTCAGTTCATTGGTGATGGTTGGTTTCCAGAGCCTTGTCTTGATAAACAGACATGATTAAAAAAAATTTATTTTTTTTTATTTGTGTGTATGTACGTATGTGTGTGTGTGTGTGTGTGTGTGTGCATGTGCATGCATGTGGTCTTAGCTCAGTGGAGTCATTTCTTCCTACTTTTTTCTGACAACTCTAAGTTGTGAGTGGGTATACATATGAGGTGATACATAAACTTAAAAGAGACTTGCAATCGTTTGATTTTAATTGAACAAATTATTTATTCAGATTTTATACAAGGTCCTAATGTACCAAGGTGGTACAGGGACTAGTCTTTGTGAAAAACAAACTTTCCATCAATAACAGGTCCCTAATATGATGTTATTTTGAGTTAGCTTGATGCTGATTAATTCTCAGATAGATTTTTCATCATAGATGGATAGGATATTTATAAATGTAGTTTTAGTTGTTAATACTATATTGAGTAGTATTGGGATGGAACTTGTTTGATTAAAGTGTGAGAGAATGGGGGCAGTAAAACTATCTAGGAGATGTGATGGTGTTCTCTATTCTAGTATATCCTTAAATGAATTTGAGTCGTTCTTTTATTGTTATATTTATAAAAAAAATACTATTTTCTTTGTAAATGAGCATAGTTTTATTGATGTAAATTAAGCAGCTTTGTATGTATATTGGCTTCTGTATTTAGCTTCTTTAGGTGTGAGAAAGGCTTAAGATTAATTTTTTATTCATCACACCATTTATTTTATACTCAAATCTGATTCATTAGTTTTCAAGCTGTTTGTTATGCTTAAAGGTGCACTCCATAGGTTTGAAAATCCCCCAAATGCTTATTTTTGCCATCCACAGCTTTTTATAAAATCGTACGTACTGCTTAAAATTTTTTTCTGGAGCGTACGTGATGTTGATAGATTTATTGGAGCTTATAGGAAGATGGTTGCTGTTATGACTGGCCAGTCATTATAAGTTTAAATCAACCTTTATCAATTTTATCAAAGGTCGAATCCAAGTGCGGAGAGGGATAGATAAATGATTCCCCGAGTACGAGACAATTGCTCGTTTTCCTGGGAAAATCCATTTTGGCGGGTAAATCTCATGGAGTGTACTCGTACAGATAACCATTGGACTTCCACAGTAACCATGACAACATACTTGCTCACCTTCAGTCTTATGGTCCTTGATGTCTTCCATTTCCAGTTATGGTACCCCTTACCATACAAATATTGCAGACATGATTTGTTTTTTCCAATTTCAATTGGAAATTTGATTTTTACCTCAAAAAGTTATGAGGTCTCCAAACCCCTGGTCTTAATTTTGTCTGACTTTTTTTCAGACAACACAAAGTAATATCTTGTGTTGAGATAAGAGCTTGTGTTGCATGCAAGTATCATACTCATTGCCATGTTATTTTCACATAATATACTTTTTTCTATTGTTATGCAAAAACTGAAAAAGAATGCATTATTTTTTTATTCAGAAAGGTCTGAGAAGTTATGAAGACATAGCTAGGATCTGTTAGAAGCTTAGTTAAACTTGTCATGTTATATTAGATTAAACATACTATCAGGGTATTTCTTGGGTAGCAGATTTTATAAATGACAGAATTTAGAATGCAACATTTGAACACCATTTCAAGTCGATAAAGCTAAAAACATTTAAAGTGCCTATTTTTCAGGTCGCACAATATTTAGAACAAATGTTGCTTATTAAAGATACCTTAAAAGACTTCATAATGCAATTATCCACTTGAAATTTAATGTTATATTTATGCTAACTTCAAGTGTGCAAAAGAGCGCAAGATTAACTTCTTTATCAAGTTTTATTCATTCCAGAATTGTTCTATTCTGTTTATAAAAATAGATAAGTTACGAGTTGTGAAGCTTTATGGGACAAAGTTCATATTTTGCATAAAGTTTCCCATCGAGTGCTTTATCAGACTGACACTATGACCTGAGCAGAAAACAATAGAATAGGCTTCACTGTGTGCTATTCTGTGTTCTTGCATTTTGTGACCACATGAACTTAAGCCTGGCCTTTTGTTTTCTGCTTGAACCATGGTATCAAGTAAATGTGAACAACAATGGAGGTGGCTCCATATATTTCTGTCTAGTCAGGGGGGAGGGTGTGCAGGGGCGGATTTAGGCCGTCTTCTGGGTCTTCCAGAAGACGGTCAGATATTCAAGTTTACATTAACAGGTATCTAAATTTTCTGTTAGAAGACGGTCAAATTTGGAGGATGGATCAAGAAAGATAATTTGGAAGACTGTCAGAAAATAGCTCTGGATCCGACCCTGGTGTGATATTTGTGCAATTACGTTCAGTAATTATATACTACATATACTCTGTAGTGCATTGCCATATGGATTTCTTGTAATTTTTTATTGCTGCAGTTCATATCTTTCTTCATATCATTTCATACATTTTGGTATCTCATTTTCTTGCTATCATTGCTCATAATGGTTCTTCAATGATGTTAAGTATAACAGACAATAAATGGTTTTAAAAGTACATTTGAAATTTCTTTGAATTTTTTTTAATTGGAAAAGTTAGATACTAAAAGCAAATGTGTTGAATAATCCCGACAGATAATTGGAGTCGAGTTGATGAAAGTTTTTTCAAAATGGCCACACAAAATTGAGAAATTTGTTAGTGAGCTTGACCAACCCTTATTTTAAAGGAATCAATGTTTTCTTTTCAAATGGAAAAAAATGTGTTGCTTTTGTTAGTGGGTGTAATTTATAATTAATCCCAGAAGACCTTAATACCGTTTGCATCCTCTAACGGCACCAACATTGTGGATTTGACCTCCCCCCCCCCCCCTAAAAAAAGAGGGGAACCTCAACATTAAGCTTTCATGGCAATAAAACATTAAAAAAAACAAATAATTTTAATCCAGTGACCCTGTGTATGGAGTTGAAACTCGTTAACAAATAAACTATTCACTCCGCGTTATGAAGAATTCAGGGGTTCATGAGAGAAGTTGGTATTATTAACCAGACATTGGTGCACGAATAGATTCCTCTCTCACACCAACAAAGAAGCAATAATAAAAAAGTATTATAAAGAATAATGAAGACTAATCAAGCAAACATTGTGTTTACATTGTATTCAAGCTCTTTATAGATGGAATTTTACATTTTCCAACAAATCTTGTTTGAAGAGGCAGAATAATGTCCAGGCTCCTTAGTATCCTAACAGATGCTTAATCCTTAAATAATACATAATCACAAGTACACAATTATAATGACAGTGAAGTGGACCAATGAGAGGTACTGTACCATATGCAGGTGCCCTGTGCACCTTGGAGACTTCATTTTGAAAAAAACACACTATAAAAGACCAAAATAATAATCAAATTTTGTACATAGCTAATAAATCTACATATAAATAATGTAATTGTTAATAGCATAATCTGCATTAATTATCAAAGTTCAAATTGTCTTTTAATAATTTTATGTGCCTTTTTCTGGTCCACTACAACTTCTATACAAAGGTTAGATTTTTGTTTGCTTTTACAAGATAATGTCACAGCTGTATTATAGTTTCACATGCAGTATGTTTTAACGTTTTCATTTTTTCTTGGACCGTGCACTGCGTGTACGTCTCCGCTGAGGTTCAGCTACCTCCAGAATATCCTGGGTGGTGGTCTCTGAAATATCTTGACTTTTTTCTTTTATTCTTGATGAAGTCTGAAAAATGAATACTTTAACTGTACTGAGCTGGACTAAAGGTCTTAGAAACTGCATGATTTCTTACAAACAAAAATCAATTAAGTACATTTTCAAAAACTAAGATAAATTCAAGGATTTTTTTCCTAGATTTCACGTTTCTCTGGTCAAAATTTATTGGGACATGGTTTCTAAGGAATACTTACTGGTGAATGAACATTCCACTTCCGGGGCTTGGGCGTTCTGAAATGGAACAAAATCTTTAAGCACTCCCCTATGTATCACACAGATATTCACCTTTCCAAATCTTGAATAATATAGAATAAATAAATAAAATGTGTGGAAAAAAATTCAAAGTTGGTATCCAGACTAAGATTCAACACCCTGAGAATCAGAGATAACTATCACTATAGTAATAACAGTAAAAATGCTATAGCCATGCTGTAAATTAGAACAATTTTTGATATCTCCAAGACTTTGAATGATGTTCAAGATTTCTCACTCAAAACAGAAGCCACTCTTAGTTACAGAAATTACTAAAAACTCAACTCTATAATCAGTATTTCCAGTTACTCGTGTGAGTTCTCTATAACCTCTAATACTCTAGGTGAGAGTAGACTTACGGTTTATCTGGGGAAAACATGCAGACAATGTCCATAGGAATTGTCTTTGGATTCTGATCTTCGCCCTCTTTTGATGCTTTATTTGTTTTAGAACCTGAAAAAAATCATCAACATCATCACTCATTTATCTGTAAAACACAAAACAATGTATACATTATTTTTAATACAATATGAGAGAGAGAGAGAACACTGATGGCTGGCCAAGGAGTTCCATTCCTGACTGAAACAATGTTGTCTCTCATAAATGGCGACAGGACATCAAACTGGATATTAGGAGTGTTTACCTGTGCTAGGGATATTACTGCTGTACAGTCGGAGAGGCATGGAAGTAGGGATTGGAGACAATGGCATCATGCTCGTGTCCTGACCTTGGTGGAACGTCAAGTTACTCAGTAAGCTCGCTGGAAAACCAAATTTTTAAATGAGCATAGTGCAAATGGAACAATTTTCAAAATAAATAAATCAATGCATAAGTCATGATAATATATTAAAAGAAAAAAGTGAAAAAGAAATAAAAAATAAACTAGCAAAAGAATAAATAAGAAAAAAAGACATACTATGAAGCACATCCTAAGGAAATTTCAAAATAAAATTGTAATAGAACTGATGCAATATTAATAAAAACATTTTGTAACTTCAAAATCATATTAATTTAAATAGTTCACAACTGGCATGTCCATGACAACAAAGTACTTAAAATCAAAGTTATATCTGTAGAATACGAAACTAACCCTCTGGTGTGCTGACAGCTCTGCCTTCTCTTTCTGGGGTCTTCTTTGCTCTCTCTTTACTGGTGGGAGTCTAGGTAAAACATTACATCTCAAATAATACAAAATGTCCCAAGTAGTGCAAACTGAAATTTCAATACAATCCAGCATTAATATACTTCCAACAACTAAAATTATGTTATCTACAAGTTGATATGTCTGATAACAAAAACTGCCAACTTGATAACATTTGCACTAAAAGTGCAAGTAACTTTAATCTATTTCTGAATTAAACATGTAAAACTCACTTTAAATGTGGCCTGGCCAGGTGGGGAGGAGTCCTCCTCTTCGTCCGCGGAGCTGTTTTTACCCATCTGTGGCGGAGTGTTCTCTGTAGTTCTGCGGCGCGTGCGCTGTGGAGTGGGCGTGGCCTGCTTCTTGTTGCTCATCTCTACAGCTTTTCTCGCAGAGTTCATAGCAGCAATGGCTACCAGGGACATTTTCCTGTGTTAAATATTAAATGCATTGCCTTATTGTTTATTAAGAAAGTGCCACATTGAATAAGCAAAAATAAAAAATAAAAAATAAAATAAATAACAGCAATAATCCCCACCCACCTGCTGGATGTTCCTGTCCTGGTGGCTGGAGAGTTGAGAGCCATCACTGGAGTCTTAGGAATGATTGATCGTGGCCGGCTCTGGCCTGGGGACTGGACAGTTACTGCAGGGGGTCCTGCTTTGGGGGAGGTTCCTGGCTGAGGTGACCCCACTGGTGAATTCTGTAATGAGAGGGTTTTTTTAAAATTGAATTTCAAGACAAGAAAGGTCCTGTATGATCATGTACATACATGTTGTTTGAAATGCAGACATAACTTGATGTTTTCAATGGTGTTGATCATGGATTTTACAGCTACTCTATTTTTAGTCATAATTCTTTAAATTAGAACATTTCTATTGAGTGGTAGTAACAAAATTGAAGCTAAGCAACAAACATACTATAAAAATGCATAATATAATTAACAATTCTTAAACTATGTATCTGAAACTTTGGTAATTTTCCGCAATGAAAAAAAAAACGAGTCATTTCTGAACTTAAAATTTCTACTTCTATCCAACTGACCTGTTTTGCATTACATGAATTCAATGTGCAGGCCATAAACAACTCCTTCTTCTGCATAATATAATTAACAATTCTAAAACTATGTATCTGAAACTTTGGTAATTTTCCGCAATGAAAAAAAAACGAGTCATTTCTGAACTTAAAATTTCTACTTCTATCCAACTGACCTGTTTTGCATTACATGAATTCAATGTGCAGGCCATAAACAACTCCTTCTTACTGTATGTAACAGGCATACACGTGAAATTTAAATGTAATACAAGTTAATTGTCTAATTTTCTGCTCACTGGTTTTGATCCACCGAGAGACTTCCTCTGTTGCTGTTGTTTTTTCTGCAGCTCCAGCTCCTCTTGCTGCTCTTCAAACTTACGTAAATCAAACTCAATCTCATTGGCCAGCTGCCTGTCAGCTGACATGATCTCTGGAACCAGCAATTGGAGGAATTATTACATCTATCAATCAATGTCATTTAACTAACAGAATGAGAACTTGTAGACATAATTANATCATGCTGATATAATCCTTTTTGCAAGGCTCATTAAAAAGTCAGCTTAATTAAAACCACGTATCTTACAGCAGTAATGACCACCTTGCGTGTTAATCCTCGAATAATGCATAACACAAATGTTACAAAAAGGGGCAGCTGCCCTAAGTCATTAAGAAAGTCTACTGTTTCAACATTGCTCATCTACTATGTATGAACCGCGCAAACCAAATTGAAAATTGTTGTTGCGGTTCGCTTTGACCTACTTCCAATGTGTTTTTCATCTACCGCAATCCCTAATGCAAACATTATTTCTTTACGAATTTAGAACAAACATACCTGTTGCAGCTGACAACCTATGTGGGTACACCATAATACAATGTAAACGAAGAAGACGTTTTAATTAACCTCAAAACACGGACACCATGTAAAATAGATGTGACGGTGTTATGATTTATATCGTGCAAAAGTGGGCGCAAACGCATAGTTGGCGTTTTCTCCTCCTAAGTATTCGTTCATGCTTACACATGTAAGATCTTATTATTCTCTCTACATATAATTGTTGTGAAAGTCTTATGATTGAGAAAACCAACAGGGATATTTTACCTCTGAAATGTTGCTGTTACTCAGTCAGTAGGACTCGATTAGGACGAAAGTAAAAGTATTTAATTATAATTTATTGATGTATGTCACATATAAACATCGGTTTGCAAACTCCGGTTACTTGAAAAGTACCCCGTTTTAGACACAAAACAACTAAGACACGTGTTTCTTTTTATACAATAAATCAATTCTTTTATATTCAAACCTGACTCTTATAATCACGGATTATTTAAATATTTATCTGAGTCTTGTTCATATTTAATTACATTCAGACCGTTCCCCCATCCGTTAACGTTTTTCGAGTTATATACATGGGCACCGTAATTACAAAGTTCTGAAGCACATCAACTACACATATAATCCAACACATTATGTATTTATATTTGCATGTAAGTCTACATATGTTAGGCGGCAGGTCGTGGCCATGGTTTCATTGGCTCGTTTTTCAGTTCTTCCGTTACAAAATCAAGATCTGGTGGTTTACGGCACTCACTTTCATTGAACCACGCCTTAAAGTTCGTCCACGTCTTCCGTGGCATCGGGTTCTGGTTGACCTTTTTGCATAAATCACACCAAGATTGCCGTGTTCTGGGTGTATAACTTGTGCCATCGTAGTAGTTTTTCCATTCAAGCATTTTTGCATATAAGGCAGGATCTTTGTCGATCTTCATGAGGTATGCGGCGAGATCCCGCGGGTGGGAGAAGTTGGCGGTATTGATGTACATTTCCGGTGTGGCGCCAAGACGCGTGTAGTCTGCGGCGCCGCGAACTACAACAACAAAGTCCCCTCGCAAAGTTTTGAAAAACTTTTCCGTGACGTAATCGAAACTGAAACTGTTTTCGAATGCTAGAAAAAATTTGTAATTTTCGCCAACCAGGTCCATGCAAGTGTCATCAATATAACCTCTATTTTCCATGGGACAACCATTAGGATCCCCGCACTCACCTAATATGTCCAAGGGCATGTGTTTTCTTAGTTCTTTAATATAGTACTCTCTTTGTCCAAATGTTTCACAGTGGCTGGATATCCAGACAGCCAGTTTTTTCTCTCTCAAGGCAACCTCGGTGTAATTCTTATTCGTTGGGGTCTCCCTTTTCCACACGTCTCCGTAAAACATCGGAATGTCAGAATCGGCTCTGTATGTCATTGTCCAGTTAAAACCTTTACTGTCCCATTCCGGGTATAATTGTTCCCATTTCCCAGCAAACCCCCTAAAACAGGGACTCTCGTGGGTGTAAAATATCCATATTTGGTCGGGATTCGTTCGCGTTGGCCAAACTGGGTTCTTCTTGTTCGCTAGAGGACAGATATGTAAAAGCACAGCATCTGCCTCGTTGAGTTTACTCTGGTTTAGCGTCATGATACAGTTACTAACCGGGCAGTTCAGTTCTTTGAAAAGTCCGTCCACGCCATCTTTCATGTAACCCCAGTCATCATTCCAAAATAGGATGGTTTTCGGGGGCCCAGTTGGTATGAACTCCTCTTCTAACTCATTGTTTCCTGACCCGTAACTTTTGACAAAGCGATAAACGGTGTCAGTGCTCTTTGAAGGGAGAAACACAAGCAGGCCTATGACAACAATAAGGGCGATGATAATATTCGTTATACCGAATACTCGAAATGGCCGAACGATGCACGTGGTGGCCATGGAACGCAGGCGAAACAGCCTCCCTGTCAAGACGGCCATCTTCTTTGAGAGACTTCTGTGACAGTGGTCTTGTTGGCAACGTGTCTACGTGGATGCGCGCGCACGCCTCCAAAGCAGCTGACGCTCAGCGTAATGATTCTGCTTATGAATTAATCAGTGTATTTGAAGTTATACAGGAACAGCAATGTGACGAACACAGAGTTGAGCTATTAGGAAAGGTCGTTGCACAGGGTCATGTGTACATTCTCACACATCTCCATAGTTAAGTAGGTTGACATCTCGTATTGTAGTATTATAGTTATTTTAACTGTACTAGTGTGTTCAGATAAAGGCTCAGAAACAACGGAATAATAAAAATGCTGAGAAGTATCTATAAACTCGTCAACACCGTCTTGCCACCTATATTGGGAAATATCCTACGTGATGAAGAATATTTGATAAACGTATTCTTGGATATTCTGACTGTCCGCCATATTGTCCATCAGCAATTTTTGCTGAGATTATTAAAATTGCAGAGTGAATCTAGTTTATGACAAAGCGCATAGAACATTAAAGAAGGTTAGGAAGAATACGGGTACGATGGACCTACTCTTATATATATAAATACGGCATCTTAAGGTGTATCTACTTAATTATATAGGCCTATACATATCTATTCATTAAAAAAAATATAAGGAGTGATCTGAATACAAAAGTAGTATTTAAAGATTACAATTTGGTACAGAATGCTGATTTTTGCATTGCAGATTTTGGCGAATTAGCAAATTTGAAATGTGTTACTCGCAATATTCGCAATATTGCCACGTCTAGTTTACCGTGCTCTTTGGCTATTGTCTTCTTCCTTTATACTAAAATCATATTCATACCAATTAAATTTTGCTTGTGTAAACGTTCCCCCTTCGCATTAACATGTAGTATAAATTCTGACAAAGATCATCTAGCCACCTAGTGTTTATTTTGTTACATGCAATTTGGATTAACCAGAGAGACTAATCCGCAAATATTCCAGTGTGGGTTATGATATATTCATGCATCTAAGCGTTGTTGAGATATTATCATAATGCACCGCTAGAAAATGACACAGTCGTTATGGAGGCAACTCAGGCTTTTTCTCTGCGACATAGAGATTTGATTTTTATATTTATTGGAATTATTTTGATTGGTTTTATATGTTTCTATGAGTGGGACGGCGAAGTGACGGGGTGCACTGTCATCCACAATGCGGTGCTTTCAGACGATAGGATTTCTCAGGCGAACTTGGACGAATTTCAGGTTATGTCAAGGTGGGTTTCATTTTATATTGTACTTGATACTTTGATCTTGACCTTGGACTATATCACAAGTAAGATGTACAATGTGAACTATACACACAGCGGCCTGCATATATGCATGACACACACACACACACTTAGAGTGATAGAGAGAGAGAGAGAGAGAGATTTTAAAGCTCTTTGTGTGTAATTGTGAATTTGTGTGTGTGTGTGTGTGTGTATGTGTATGTTGTTTTTATCACTTGACTGCAAATATTCAAATTATAAAGATGACTCATCATGCCTTGTGGAATCTTAACATTTTACTACCAAATAACACTTTTTGAATCCTCCAATTTTCTGTGTAATCTTAATCATAGTTTAAATTTTGTTCTCGTGCACCTACGTATTAATTTCTAAACAAAAGTCAATCAATAGGAAAACAACAACGTCACCTTCAGTAATATGTGCGTAGTTCATTACCAACCTGTTGCTTGTTTCAATAATTAACAGGGGTAAAATGATCAAACAACACATTTACAATTTAGAAAAAAAAAGAATAAAATATTAATGCTAATTGCGGCATTACGTACAGCTGCATACAGCCGTCAAAGCGGTTAGGAATTGACGTAGTCTTTGTGGTATTTATTTTTATTTTTTGGGAAGTGCGTGTGTTGGCCTATATGTTTAGGCAGTATTATATAAAACAAGCCCTGTTCAAAAAGTAAAAAAATCAAACGAAGAAATAACAAACTGCACTGTATGCTGAAATTAATTTATGAAAAAATTCAAATTGCAGTTTGAATAGAAAATCTTTACATTTTATCATGGTGTCGATATTTGAAAATAGTAAAGCGTAGTTATGCACTGAGCTCTCGCCCTTCCATGATCACTGAGGCACTTAATCCATGTTTCGGTTTTATTTCTAGGATCCTCGAAAGTGATTCAGATTTGTCCTCTTTGATACCGCTGCTGTCTTTAAAATTCAACAATGGAACTCAATCTGACGATAAAAGACAGTGCAAACCAAAGACAAAAATAGTCAGTATAAAAATTCACAAAACTGGCTCTACAACATTATCTGCTGTAGTCCTCAGATATGCCTACAGAAATCGCCTAAGAGTAGCTATCTCGTCTAGTGACTCGAAAAGCGGGATTCTGCGAGACCAACATGATCGTCTGCCTCTGAAAGCAAACGAAGTGTGGGCAACACACGGCAGATACAAACCAGAGATTCTCCGTCAATTTACCACCGAAGAAACATTTTTTGTCACAACGGTCAGAGAACCTTTTGAAAGGTTTAAATCTCATTTTAATTTCTTTCGCATGGGTAATGTGTTACGGCAAAATGGGGACAGTACACTGAGAGATTACTTTACCAAACCAATGTACTCAAAATCCAGAGACCTTATGAGCAACTATATGTTAAAATACCTTGGGTTTCCAAACAACAAGACTCTTTTCTCAGACAATAACTATGTCAGTGACTATATTCGTAAATTGGACGCAGAATTCCACCTTTTAATCCCACTTGAATACTTCGACCAAGGACTGATTTTGACTCGAAGAATGCTGTGCTGGGACATATCTGACATCATATACCTAAAACTACGACCACAAACGTCTGATACCTACAGCTCTCTTCTGCAAGACAATGACCCACTTGTAACTAAACTATTCCAAGAAGCAAACAGTGCAGATTACATGCTGTACAATCATTTTAAATCTAAATTTGAAAACATTATGAATGACCAAGATGGCGATTTCTATGACGAGCTCAGTTATTTTAAGAACCTTCTGTTTCAAGTTGGACAGTATTGCCAATATAATAAAAACGACACCTCTCTCCGTGTGGCACCGTCAAAATGGTCACCAGCGTTCACACTTAACAGATTACATTGTAAATATATGGAAATATACACTACCCATTTTAAAGTACTATTTAAAATGGAGTATTACAAACGGGTCTTTGCTAAATATTTTGAATCTCTTTTATCGTAGATGGTGCATGTAAATCGCAGTCGAAAATCATTTACTAAAAGACAAATTAGGCCATAACTGTACTGAATCCGTGCATTTAACGGCATGTTCTCACATTAGCCTCTTAAAAACGCTGAAGTATCCCTATTCAACAATATTTTTGAGCAAGATCTGGGTCTTACGCTGAATGGTGCCTTTAGCTTTCAGTTCAGTTTACCAACCTGAGTCAGAAATACCCTGTGAACTGTGTACATGTACGGTACTTTGAATAGGTGTGCATAGACATGTTAAAAGTAAGTTGTTTTAAGTTGTTAACGTGTAAATTAAATATGGCTTTGTGAGTTATTTTCGCACAAATAAATGCGCTACTTTAAGACAATGGTCGTTTTATTTTGCTGTTTTAACAGTTAAAACTCAATCACTTAGAGCGCATTCAGAGATTTAGATCGATCCAACTAAATCGACCTAACACCATGGGGGTTCACGCTAAATTGCTGTCAGCCGACCGCGCACGGAAGTTAATTACCCCCTTACAGCTTTTAGTAGGAGGGGCAGACATTTAAGCCGGCTAAGCTGACAGTAATCTAGTGAGTCTCCCCACGGGGATAGATCGATCTATAAATCTGTGGGAATGGGGTCATAGACTAAGTTTATGATTTTTCAAGGAAAATCGTACCATAATCATAATTTTGGTATTTCCATTTTTAACAAATTTGAATAGTCCAAACAGAAGAATATTTCATAGTTATATCTGACACAATCGATAATATCTTAAACCTTTCTTATTTTTATGTCAGTTCGTTATCTTGTTCATTCGACACTGTAGAATGTTGCCATACATGTATATAATAACGCAATATGTTTCTTAAGCATATAAAAGCTGAACAACACAAAATTATATCAAAGTTGAACATTTCTAGTACAAAAATACACCTAACAAAGGATTTCAATGATGAGAATGAATTTATAAAAAAAGACGATATCCAAAATGTGTAGTAGAAGGTGTTGATTGGTAGCAATCCCACATCTACACAATTCGCCTAATTGTCAAGTGTAAGTCACACCAGGGACCCAATCTCCTGGCTGTGGTATGTCACTGCCAGAGTTTTAATTACAGAAAATCAGAATAGCATGATAAATCTGCCGCCATGCATGGTTATTTTAAAGTATCATTGAATATATCAGTTATGCACATATTTACTACAATTTTGAACTTAAAGTACATTTATATGAAAGAAAGAAAAAATACAAATAAGAAATAATATGGAACACGCTTAAAAACGTATTCCAATGAAAACATATGGCATATGCTTTTATTGTTTGTTTCCTTTGTATTATTTATTATTTCATTTTTTATCTCATCGCACTATATTTACAGTGTATGTTTTGCGTATCTACCTTTTTAATTATAGTAATTACTAATGTTTCTTATTCAGTTATAAATACTTGGTTTTTATTTGTTTGTCTGGAATTATGTACTGTATATTTCTATCCCTTTTGTAATTAGTAAATTATTTTGGATATTTTCACTGTTGTTTAGTTACGGCTTATATATTTGATTACAATGCCGTATTTTTTCGCTTTGTGTTTACAATAAGTAAATTATTTCATTCAAGTCATTTGTGAATTTAACCAATATTTTAGGTATATTGAACCCATCTACAATTGGTTTAGTGAAAGGGCAAGAGAGAGAGAGAGAGAGAGAGAGATACAAGACCCCAGATGGAAGCAATATTCTGTAAGATCACTAACAAAACAGAGTAACACAGAAACAGTTAGGAACAGTCAAACGACATTTTATGGCTATCCCCATCTCCAATAACGGTCTCTTTACAACCCTCCAAACGAAATAGTCGCAGAATGGTTTGTAAATGATAATGACTTGTGCTGACTATTTCTCTTCTATTTAAATTCCTAAAGACATAATACATTATACTTGCAACAATTTGCTGTTATATCAAATTAATTTTCAAGAAAATTCATTGGTGGGATTATGTAATAAAATCGGTCTTGAACCAAATACCCTGTGTTGTTTGTACTGGTATGAGTGATGAAGAAAATGTTTGTGGTAATTTTGGCTGGAGAAAACGTACAATGCTGTTATGAGAAGGAGAAACACTAGTTATATTGTGCTCGCTCAATATTGCCTGTAAATTACAGCTGAGACAAGACATTTTGGACTATTCTACTTAATAAAGACAAAGTTCAGAAAATCTTCTCTGTAGCATTTATACGGAACCTGCACGTATTTTACTGAAGCCACGCTTATGACTTGCAACTAAGAGGGTTAGATACAGATGATACAATATTCGACGACGTATATCATCATCGTCAAAGAAACTGAGGTAAATTGAAAGATTTAGGAGCTCTGACGCATATGGTATAACGGTTTGTAATGACCGTGTGCCCAGTAGCAATGAGATGGAAAGATATCGTGCCAACAGCGGAATGGGCGAGCCATGGTCAGTAATTGTACTAGCCGATATTTGTGAAGCGCCGACACTATAGGTATAGAGTATCATTTGCAAACCCCTATCCTGATGGTAATATTTCAAAACTCTCTGTAAACCATCTGCAGAATAGTAAAGTTGTGTCTTATCATTCATTCTGAGTTACTCATAAACATATGGGTAGCATTAGAAACGTCATTATCCATCAAATGCGGAGAAGTGACGCTGTATACTTGCTTCAACATAATTTTGGAACCCTCTGTGAAGCAGTGGCGGGGTAGTTTAATTGTATTCAATAATTGCATCTGGGCACCTCAGACACGTATGAACGGGCTAGGGTCTCGGCGGTATTACCCGTGCTACTGTGTTCATCGCCAAACACATGTTGCCAAATAACACCGAACTCCTGTATAGAAACCATCAATGCCCGTCTGCCATCTACAAGCCTGTTCGCCTTCGAGATATCCACCCAGACAATGAAGACGTTATATAATGTCTGGCCCCTGTTACCAGAAGGTGTATGTCTTATTGCAGGAGTGATGATATGATTGTTTCCAAGAGTATTGCACTGTTACTCACAGATCGAAGAAGAACGGAAATGAATTGTCAGCTGTAGAACCTAATAGCATTGAGGTGGATTTTTGCTGTGGCAGTCTCCCTCGTTGTGTTTTTACATCCGCTGAATGTTCTGTGGGATCTGACATCACTTAAATATAGAGTTTTGACATCACGGTAAGTATAAGATATGACATGTACTGGTACATATAATTGTGTTAATACTTTGAAAACTAAAGTAAGACGGAAAATGTGACTGTTCTCTCTTGAATTCTCGACTGCAATTTACAGTGTGCAGGAGGCGCATTTGTTAATCTGGGCGAGACTATGGGCGTATAAAGGACAATGGGCAGCAAAATGGAGTTCTGGCGATCCTTATTTAGAGAAAGTTTGTATTAGTCTTCCCCTATGTGAATGGGCCAGAGCCTTTTGTTTGAATCGGCGTCTGGAATAAATAACTGAAAGGTATTTGTTATTGAAGTGCAGTATGTGCGCACCAAAAATGTGGTTCTCCGATCAAAAAGAAAGAGGCAGCAGATATTTAAAACATGTAGGCACCTATATAGCGTAATTTTGACTTTCCTAATTATAGATTTCTACTTGATATCACATTCGGAGTATCCCTACACGAATCAGTATTCTTCATCTAAGTGTATGTCGAAGTCATGATCAGTATTAGTAATGTTGGCTTGAGGCGTGAATTCTGTGTCAGTAGGCATTCCAAGAAACACCTCTGTTCGCAAGATGCATTATTCTACTTGAGTGTCTTCTTTGCGTGTAGATCGTTTTGTTATTGAGACTAAGGGTATTTTTTCGTGCATCGATAAATGTTATGTGCACTGAAGCTATTGTTATCGTCAAAACGGAGGCATTGAGTATTTTAACTGAAATAATATGAGACATAGAGCCTACAGTGGGCGTTTTTTTAGTAGTAAGCGATGCAAATGCGTTGAATTTAACATAACACTGCTGCGATTTTCCCTGAAGAATTATTTTTGTTTATTACTGGTAAGCAGAGTGATTGTAGAAAACTACGTCCACTGCTGCAGCGAGACTTCGCAGATAGGTCCATCCAATGTCAACATGAGCCTCATAGCTAGATGACGTCCTTTATTTATTCATTTATTTATTTATTTATTTATTTATTTGCAAAGTTTGTCACAGTTTATTGAAAGAACTGGCCTGTGTCAAAAAGGAGTTATAGCCCAAAACTGGTCTAATTTTAATTAAGAATTTTTTTAACAACACATTCACATATAGTATTGGCCGAGTCATCAAAAGTGTGCACATGTCTGATGCTTTGACCGGAAAATGATATTTCATCAATCAGAATATCTTAATTACGTTCCCGTAACCTGCCATACTGACCAAATTGATCAAAGTCACTTTTATCACTGTTTGCAGCAACTTAAAATTGTCCGATCTCTGAGAGAATAATCAAAGTCAAGCACTGACACTGGCAATCTTTTGATCCCCCGACAAGATAATTAAAACGTTGTTTCTGTAACCTTGTAACCCCTGAGCATGTTCATCAGAGTGTACCGGGGGTATATGCTTGCCAAGCTATACTAATGCATAGTCTCAGAACGGCTCTTAAGGCCATCTTCGGCTTCATTTAACACCATAAACACATGACTTCCACTGACCACACGTGTGCCCCCACTGCACTTAACATGGTGTATTTTAAGAAAAGCATTAACTTGTCATTAAAACCTCATCTGGGTACCTCTAGCTTTTCTAATGATTGTCGAAGTTTGATTTCCCTGAGGTCCCCTTCAGATGTTGATCTCGTATCCTCATCATATCTCAACTGGGCATCGGTTACAGAGAGCAAGTTATTGTGAAATGAAGCTTTAGAATCACAATCCACCCAATACCAGATTTTTTTCAATTTTTTTTAAGTACAATTACTGGCCAACTCGGTCAAAATGCACAAGGAACGTTGTGTTTTCTTTTGGGCACACAAGATATTTGCCTCGTCTGAAAATTCCGTGACTTTATCTAACTTATACTACTGGGTCCAGAGGACTTGTCTTACCCCCTCCCCCTCGACCCCCCCCCCCCCTCTCTTTGGTAGGAAAAGGGGTACCTGATCTGTAGTAGTGTGTAACTATCAGGTTATAATGCTTGGATGTTTGTATGGTTTCTTATGTGTGAGGAAATTGATTAATGTGCTTTCTGGGAAACACGTGGTGCAAAAGAGAGGCGCCTTTAAAGCTATCGGCTTCTGTGATGTGATTTTTACTGGTATAAACCTATGTACACCTACCTATTCACATAAAGTTTACGGCTTTATTAATATACACCGTTGAAAAAGGTAAAAAGAAAGTTAACGCTGACGTACATGCATAGAAGGGCATAGACGCTGTTCCCTATTTTTCAGCTATACATGTAGTTAACATACGTTCAAATCGAAGTAAGTGAGATACCAGGGTACTTTTGGATATTCATTCAAAACCACTGATTATAAACAATGTAATGTTGGGTGGAAATACCGTAGAGCGTTTTTCGAAATGACCAAATGAACTATTGAGTGAGGATTTTCTTCCACTGTCACCACTGCATGCTTTTTAAAAATCCTTTATGTTTCATGATACACATATGAAACTTCAACCACTGTACATGTGTCTCATTATTCGCATTCGAAGAAAATGAAAGACATACAGAAGTTCCAAGAGGCTTTTGATTTTAGTTTCTAGAGTCCGCACTTTACCTTTACCCAAGAATGTATTACCAAAACGGATGCAATTGGCTCATTTATGTTTATGCACACTAGACAGTGTCTCTTAATCGAAACCTCCCTCTCTTTCTCTCAAGATACCTCTCTCAGGTGAACAGAACCATACACATAGTGATTTAAATATTTATTAAAACACGAATTTTCCTCTCCGATGTAGATATAACATCTGGAAACATAAATGTAATCATCATAACGACTGGCTGTTCACTTGCATCACTTTCAACCAATTGCAGCAATTGGAGCATTTCTACTCAACAGTTGGGTATTCATTTCCCGTGTCTTTTTTTTTAACTCAAAACATCAAAGAGTTATAACCAAATGCGTAATTTGCGTTTTTATTTTCATGTTTTCTCCTCACAAATCTGACATCAGTTAACGTGCATGCCCTGAGTTTAGAAGATAAGCTAATACAGCTGCGCATCGTCTCTAACAGTACATGTAATGCTCGTTGTTTTCACAATCAGTCTGTTGTGACAACATTTCGCTTGCCTACATACACAAATGCATTCCAATGTTTCATAGTCTTAATGCAAAACGTATAGGGTAAGTAACTATTTTTGCATACTACAAATAACTCTAAGTAGAGGTGTAATCAAACTCCTATATACCGCCACAGCAAACAAATATCCTTAATGTCTATCTACAATGTTTGAAAACTAATAAATATTGCAAGATTGGTCCTGCAATGTGAACATTATAACAGCTGTATATAAAATAATAATGAGTTTTCAATGACCAGATGCTGTTTTGTCATAAAAACCATTTGCAAACATATTCTGCTTCTCTATTCAGCAATGTGTTCACTTGCGTATTGATTCGGACCCGCACCAATCCCGTCTTAGATGCACTGTATCTACTCCATTTTCGTTCACACGGCGGCGAACAAACAAGGAAAATAATGAAATTATATACGCTGTGGTAAAACAATCCCGTATTTATAAGCTCTAAGCGACATTTTATCAAAAGCGCCCTTGACATAGTGCAGACGTTTAGGATACGTAATGATGATACACGCCATACACGATCAGATGAAAACTTACGGACCACTTTTTGAAAATAAAACTTAGATTTAGCCATATAAATATCGTTTTATATACATCATATATTATTTAAATAATACTCGAAATGATGAAAAAGAAGCGAAGCAAGAAAAGCGAAGCAAATTGCTTTTTATCTTTTAACGTTTTTATAACATGGAATGCGTTTTCACTGTGGCATGCAACATGTTAAAGAATTAAGCGTCCTAGATAGCATATCTACGCAATTTGTATCACACACCCATTAAGGCCTGTATATGAAGCGGAATGCTCGAGCAAGCGCAAGAGGTTCATCTTGAGAGCAGCTGCTACAGTCTGTGCTTTGAATAAGTTATGGAGAAACGCAGACACTTTTTGTTTGATGTACATGTATACCCTGAATTTCGGAGTATCTTATAACAACTTCCGAGTGATAATGAGCCCGTATAATTTGGATAAGTAACTCTTACTTTCTGTTCTAAAATTCTTGGTCGAGATGTTAAATTAAAAACACCCAATAGCTTTGCACCCGCACCAGTAGCTCCTTTGATAAGATTTTAACCACATGCGCTAACTTACGTTCTATTACTACGTAGAAACTGCACACTGACATACGATAAACCTACATATTTCAAGTAAAAGTTAAAATAATGACATCCGCTTTTTTCGCACTCCCGCAACAGCTCCGAGACACCAGTTTTTATATATCAATTAGATTCAAAGTTTAACAATATATATATATATATATATATATATATATATATATATATATATATATATATATATATATATATATATATATATATTAAACTTTGAATCTAATTGATATATATATATATACTTTTATTTGCAGTGAAGCTGAAACTCTTCACAAATGTCAGGTTTGAATAGGAGCCTGGTATTTTAAAATAGGGAGTGGTCGACTGGTTTTGCACTGTACTTTATAATTTGTGAATTTTTGAGATGGTACCCTAGAGAAATGCTGTTTGGAGATACTTAAATGTGTGAACTTATGAGATAGTCCCCGAGAGTAACAAGTACTGCTGCAGTATAGGAAACAGTTTCGCCATCTATTGTACATCGACCGAACGGGTATGCACTTGGACGGTGGTGACATCTGGTGGTTTTGCCAGTATATTGTTGCAGGAAACTGTAGGCTAGTAGGTCAAGCAGATACAGATTTGGAATATAAGCGTTAGAGATGATGAATTCCAACAAAATATTAGGTAATTAGTAGGTCCAGCATAAGGGTTTTATTTATACTGAAGTGCGTTTAATGTTGATTTAATATTGAAGACTATTCAAATAAAACATAAACTTCGAATACACGCTCAGGTTTTTGACACAGATCGCTTCTTATTTCGGCTCCGGGGGTTATTTATTTTTGCATCTATTTCAAAGCGGTTTAACATTTCTACATCTATACTCATGAATATCTTTCGGCTCTTGTTTTTTCAAACTACCACACGTAGTCATATTTAAAACGACTTTGAAAATAAGAATGCCTTCACGAAAATAACTTTGCTAATATAGTTGCTTTAATCCATTTATTGGAATAAAAAATGTCTCTCTTCCATTTTACAAAAAAAGTCAGCTTAAACAGCTCTCAATCAAAGTGTTTTTACGTTTCTAGGTTGGCTATCATAGACTAACAGTATTTGCGCAAAGATTGACCTAGTATTTGGCAGTCTCATGCATAGCTGTTACATAACACTGTTGTGTCAGCGTCAAATGGAACCATTCACACATCAAATATTGTACACTCATTTGTTTTTATAATACAAAATAAGTCTAAATCCAATATACCCAATACTATGTTAAAATTCCATTTCTTTGTCTGTGTAAAGCCTGCATGCAGCAAAGCTCACGAAAATGCTCCACATTGCAAAAAAGCCACACGAAAACGGAACCTCTCATTTGTTTCAAAGACAACCACGATCGTCAGATCCTGCCATCGATAGGATTTGACGAGTTTTTTTTTTTTTTTTTTATACTTTTCACTCTCGTTAGATTGGTAATTTGATACCACCCTTTGCATACGTACAAGAAACCGCCTCCAGATCCGAAACATCATCCCGTGTTTTTGGAGATAAATGATGCTTCATTAGGCTTAAAATTAACTATACAGATTCACTTACATGTGTACGTAATAGCTGGCATTTCAAATTGAAATTCGATGATCTTGACAAACTGATTTACATAATCCGAATGAATAAAAAAAAAAAACGGAATTGCTCAGAATATGTGGGCGTGTTATCTTACCAAACAATGGACTTGTTCTAGAGCGTCAAAGCTTTTCTAATACATTCACAAAATTAGTTAATATTGAAAACAATTAATGGCATTTTGTCAGAACTGTAGGTCAATGTGATCTTGAAGTATCGATTCAAATTTACAAAAAAAAGGAAAATATATTTAATAAATCTAAGCCCTACTTGGTTATATAAAGTGTCATATATGGACATTCTGTAAAAATAACTTTGATACCGTACAAACTACCAATGACCTAAGATGGCCATAGGGTTTTGTAACAAAAGCCTCCCGATTGCTCAAGGGACCGTTAAATTATCTTGAAATGCAGAAGAGGAAGTGATCGGTAAAATACTGGTATAATAATAGTTAATGCAACTAAATGCAAAGTACCATTATGACAGGCCTATATGCTCTAAAGCATGCCTAGCTCATATAAATCTGTTCAGGAAAATTAACTAAAAAAATAGAAGCATTATGGATTGAAATACAAGTGTCGAGGACGTGATTAAGACATGAAAGGTTCAAGGGAAAGACTGATCGAGACTACGCATCCAATAATGCAAGGTAACAATGGGCAAAATGCCCCAGCTTGATTCTGTTTGAGGGGGGGACACGTAAGTGCCATGTCATCACGGTATGAGACCGGGGTGCGGAAGTCGAATGGCACTGGTAGATGAAAAGGTCACACAGTGGGAGCAACAGACGTTCGGGGGAGGGGTGGAAACTGAAGTACCCCCTTCATATGTACATCTGGTGATATGTAAATTTGCTTCCAAGTATGTAAGGATACCTGTGAAGTGTATGTACACTGAATGTCTTTGTAGAATTATTACGATTAGCGTTCACGTTGTATCGAAATGAATGTGTTTCTAAGTGAACCACACAGGGAAAATAAAGCATCATTCATGAATTCTGTAGTATTGCATATAGGTGAAAGATTGTTGTAAATCTGGGACACGTTGAATTTAGATTGTCGTGTCCTGATCTAGTAATTAAATTCAGAAGACGGTTTTATACTGTTTTCAATTTATAAATAACAGTGTTCGATTTAATTTCAGAGCTCCAAGTAAAACGGATATTAGCATCGCATATCTCCTGCAGTGGCGGATACAACGTAAGGACATCTGCTAAATAGAGAAACTATGGTCGAACTGCTTCAGTGAACGCATTCTTCGTAATGTAATTTAATTAAAATATGGGGAAACGATACCGTGATTGCAACGGTAAGCAGAGTCTTCGGCATCCGCTACAGATATCGATGTGAGATTCAATCCGAGGAGAGGAACGGACGACAAGCTGTTACGTGAGGCATTTTCACGATTCGCGCCTTTTGGGTGTTTGCTCTCAGCAATGACTGTTGAATTCCTCGGTCCCTGTGAGGAGTCACTGCCCTTTGGGAACGTACTGTGTCGTGTGTCGTACTAAACAGTACTAAATAGTACTAAATGTGCCGTACTAAATAGTACTAAATGTGAAACCAAAACAAGACATACGGAGCGCAAGGCATAGGGCGGTAGGGCTTCTTAGAGCAAATTAAAAGTTAGGAGCCTTTTGTCCCACGCCGAGCGTTTTATCTCAGGCGAAATTTTGTTCATAGGGTCAGAGTTATATCTCATTTCGAGATATTAACCAGTTAAGACAATTGATAAAGCGTCAAAGATTTCAAAAATGGATTCCGAGGAAGGCGAGGAAGCGATGGAGGAGCCCCCCAAGATTCTCTTCATGCAGATGGAATTGAAAGACCTGGCTTTTTGGGCCGTTATGGTCATCGCTTGGGGAACATTTGCTGTTGGGATAATATTGATATTCTTCGGAGTGAAATACCACATGAATGTCCTAATCTGGATTGCCACTTGGTCCTTTGTGATGTTGTGCGGACTGCCGTTGGTGATCGCCTTTGTTAGTATTATGAAGATATTCCGGGATGCCTGCAGGGATGACGAGTTGAAGTGCGTCAGAAATGAGCGGCATGCTTTCGCGTTTATTCCCTGTATGAAAGAGTTCTATGTATAACAGAAAACAGGGGACAAGTGTGTTCTCATCGTTTTGCAAAACGCATACTTGTGCCAGCATCACACATCTGTAAATAGAACTACGCATGACTTAAAAACGGTCGGCTTTACAGGAAAAAACATCAACACAGGACTTTTTTGTGTCTTAACTTGACGTCAATAAAGATAATTACACTGCTTGATCGAGGATTTTGCTTAAGGAAAGGCACAAAAATTGCTTCAATTCACTCGGTATTTTTGAATCTATAAAACAGTTGCCCGGGACTATATACTTTAGTATGTGGTTAAAAGGCTTGGTTTGGTCTCGTTTCATTAATGTATTTATATCTTGGGGTGTCTGTTGTGCGACCCCAAGGGCCCACCACTGTAAATGTCTTATTAAAGATACCGAGTTATGCTGGAACATATACATCTATGTAATTGCTTGGTTGGTGCATATACACGAACTTACGTTTGCATTCGACTGGTGGTTTTAAATGTCAGGAAATACGGCACATCCCTAATGATGTATCATGTTTGGTGATGAGCTGATTTATGCACAACACAGGAAAAGAAATTTACAAACGCGCCGGATAATGATATCAAGGTTATTCATTCAAAAACATTATACATTGCATAAATTGCGTATGTTTTTACTGTTACGCAAGATATGGAGTTAGGTGGATAACGAAGCAAGGAACTTCTTGACAAATAGTAACTTATAATGTATTGATTTTGCTGGGTACTTTATCTGTGCCTTGGGTCCCACAGACTATATAGAACTTGACTGACTCAATTATAGCGCCATTGGCGATTTGATTGGCATACACGCTACTTAAAAAAATTTAAAAAATTTAAAAAATAAATAACTCACCTGTATCACATATAAGTTTAATATTACTGTCTTAATATTTTTTGCTTGAAATGCAAAACCAAAATATAGGGCCTACATTGTATATACCACACGGTAAAACCTGAAGAAGTACTCTGCCTTCATCAATTACCTTTTTACCATTCTTTTCTTGACCCAGTTGATCGTGATCGTTGTTCGATAACTTCATTTTTAATACGTGAAAAGAAAACTGATCACATCAAATTTTAGGAACTGTAAAGTAACTACGACCTTGCAAATCCCGGTGATCAACAAGTGGAGGAAATCAACGCGGTGCATCAGTTTAAAGACAATCAATTTTAACCCATATCAGCCTGTGTAACGAAACCTACATGTAGAGATCAAGAGGAGAGTAGGTTAATTTCAGTTCACTGTTGAGCCGACGACGGTGCGCTGTTGGGTCTCAACTTGCTTCTTGGCACTGTACTTCCGCAATAGAAGGAGGCCATGTTTTCACACCCCTTTGTTTGTTTGCTTGTCATCAGTTATTTTCATTTCAATTATTTGAATTTTAATGAAATTCTAAGGATAGCAAAATCTTAAATGTGATTAGATTTTGGGTGTTACCCAGACCATCATCCTCCCTTTTTAAAACGGTAAAACACACCGCTGTAAAGGTTCAGTTGAGTTAATCAGTGCACATAATAATAATAATATTTATTTCTTATATAGCGCATTCCATTTTTTACATTTCAATGCACTTTACAAATAATTAAAAAAAAGTCTAAAAATAACAATACTAAAATACTTTAACATTTACTGATAAAATTAATTAAAGAAAGCAGAGAAAATTTATTGATATAACTTTAAAATACTACTAAAATTAATCCAAGCTCACTCTTAATAAATGATAAACAACTAAAAGGTTTAAAGGAACACTAACCATAAAATTCTTTAAAAAGATGAGTTTTAAGACAGGCTTTAAAAGTATTATAGTCACTTTCAGCTCTGATACTAAAAGGCAATTTGTTCCACAATTTTGGAGCATAAACAGTAAAAGCCCGGTCTCCATAGAATTTGTTGCATTTTCTGTCTATTTCACAGTGATTGAGTATAAAATTGTTTTCAAAAGAGTTTCTTGTTAACCTGCGTGGTTCAGATGACTGAATAAGATGTGCAATATAACCAGGTGTGTTTTCTTTAAAAGCTCTAAAAATTATGCACAACACTTTGAATAAAATTCTTTGTTTGATTGGCAGCCAATGCAATTCCTTTAACACTGGAGTGATATGATCCAAGCTCTGGTTCCTTATCTTTTTAACTAATCTGGCCGCTGAATTTTGAATCAATTGGATTTTTTTCAATTTGCTGTCACTCACCCCAAAAAGAATACTGTTGCAATAATCTAATTTTGATGTAATAAAAGCATGAACTAATTTTGTAGTTGTTTCTATATTTAGTAAATTCCGAATCTTCCCTATTCTCCACAGTGAAAAAGATGCCGACTTACAAACATTGTCTATATGCTTGTCAAAGATCCCAGCTGAATCAAAAAACACACCTAAATTTCTAGCAC